GCGCTGGGGAAAGAACCTTCAACATAGCTATCATATTCAAGTTGTCCCAGACCACATGCCGATGATGCAACACTTGGATGGCTGGCGTCAAGTGAAGCCTTTTTGTGCAAAGCGAGCTTTCTCCCTTTGTGCACAACTGCCCAACATGTGTTACAATAATCCTCCTCACAAGAAGGACAGTGGAAGAGAGCAGGCTTTTCCTTGCATGTCACACAGTCAACGGTGGACTTTGTGCCACAAAAGGTATCAGCTGCTGGCGATGGAGGTACATCGATCAGTGTTGTTGATGAAGCACCCGCAGTTGGCTGTATCAGTGGATCCTGGGGTGACTTAGTTGTACGTGTGTGTTGATGCTGGTCAGGAGATCTACCCAACAGTGTCTCTTCAGGACATGTTTGCCTGGCACCAGCAGTTTCAGTTCCTGATATGCTTTTCTTGTGAGGCTTTTCATTGGCGGCTTTGCTTGATGAACTTGGTTGGGTGAGTTGAACATTTCCAGAAGCAAAGTCCACACCTGGTGTAATATTTTCCTGGTGTAGGCCTTTTCTCGCAATGGGGTATAACTCCGGTTGTTGATCTGCATTGCCAGTCTGATGTGCCGTTGGGTTATGATCTCTGGTGCTGTAGACCATTGCGTGTGTACCTTGCTGCTGCTGTTGCTGCTGCTGCTGCTGCGGCTGTTGCTGCTGCTGCTGCTGCTGCTGCTGCTGCGGCTGCTGTGGCTGCTGCTGTTGCTGCGGCTGTTGCTGCTGTTGCTGCGGCTGTTGCTGCTGCTGCTGTTGCTGCATTACAGTATATCCAGACGGGGAGTTGCTGGAAACGCTAGTCAATGAACCTGCGGCAGTGGTGGTATTGCTACCACAGTCCAGTTTTGGCTGACTCTTGTTTTTGGTCAAGCACAAATGGTTCCGCTCTGTGCCAATTCCAGTTGCTATTGACAGTGAAGAGGGAACAGCTGATGTAGAACCTGTCAAACTCATCTGCGGTAGCTTTCTGCTGCTCACAGGATGAGCGCCTTGTTGCACAGCAGGAGTGATCATTAGTGACGGTGCAGAAGACCTCTCCAGTACATTTCCGATACTTGTCGTGTCAATAGAACGTTTGAGCTGCGGCTTGATGCTAACCACAGGACGACTTCTTTGCTGCCTTGCAGTGGATCTAGTTGGCAATGGCACAGTTGCAGAGCTAGCTGCTGTTTCCACTCCACTTGCCGCCTCATCTACAGTGACTGTAGTGCTAGTTGGATGAGGTGATGGTCTGCCCACAGGGAGAGAGCTCAGTTGAGGTCTGCTCACAGGGAGAGAGCTCAGTTGAGAAGGTCTGCTCACAGGGAGAGAGCTCAGTTGAAAACGTCTCAGGCTCACAGGGAGAGAGCTCAGTTGAGGCACAGCATATTTACTTGGTTGTGTTGAAGTAGTGTCCACCACAGGCATCTCAGTTGTATCGCTTGTAGCGCTTATAGCATTAGCATCACATGTTTGATCATGATTGTGATGAATCACAGGTCGACGACCAGTTGGCTGCACATTACCATGCTCAGGTGTCATCGATGAGCCAGAAAACGTAGTGCTTTGCTCAGCAACAGTCATGGCAGCCTTGGCACTTTTTTGTTGTCGCCCGCTACTTTTTCCAGGACTGTCACAAGAAGACTTTCGCTGTTGGGTAGCACTGCTCCTTGCTGAGCCCAAATTTGCTCCTGCTATGATACCACCATTGCCAGCTTGACGTTGCTGAGTGTCTCTGCTCTTCCCAGCATTGCCAGCTGGATATTGTGCCTGAGTGTCTCTGTTCATCCCAGCATTGTCAGCTGGATGTAGTTGAGTGTCTCTGTTCATCCCAGTATTGCCAGCTGGATGTAGTTGAGTGTCTCTGTTCATCCCAGTATTGCCAGTTGGATGTTGTTGAGTGTCTCTGTTCATCCCAGTATTGCCAGTTGGATGTTGCTGAGTGTCTCTGTTCATCCCAGTATTGCCAGTTGGATGTTGCTGAGTGTCTCTGTTCATCCCAGTATTGCCAGTTGGATGTTGTTGAGTGGTTCCTGTCTTTTGCCCAGATCCTTCATTTTGTTGCCTTTGTTGAACATTAGAATTTTGCCTTTTCTGACCACTGGGATTAGGCTCCACAGGTGTTCCAGAGTCTAGGTTGGCATGTTTAGTTGTTCCTTGCACTTGAAAAGCTATAACACACAGTGACACCGGCACACACACACACACACACACATGCACACACGCACGCATGCACGCACGCACGCACACACACACACACAGAAAGAAGAAGCATATCCAAGAAGATTAATTCCAAGTATTACGATGAGAAAATAATCAACATAATCAACATAAACATGGTGTAGGATGGAGTCCTAGGCCATACTGCATTCAACTGCAAGGTCATGATGAGACGACAAACAGAATGCAGTGTGTGTTGGATGTAATTATAGTTTGTGGCTAAAAGATTACATTTAATAGGGAGGTTTTGCTCTACGTAATTACATATGGAAATCTCTATGTCGTACGCGCCGGGGAGCGAGGGTAATCTTCGTAGGTAAATCTCTGTACGGGTTTCGTGAAAGCGCTTTCCTACTGTTGGTCCTCCGCAGGACTTTTTGAATTATTTGTTTTCACAGTTTCTGCATTTATCCATGGCAAAGTTCAAGCCGCGCGAAATACAAGCTCCACAGCACGGCTAGCACGTGGGAAACTACTGTACAAGGAATGGAGAATGTGGTCTATGTTCGTGGTGCATGTGGTGGGCGCATGCAGCAGACGCGTCTCCAACGTAACAATGCATGCTTCAGATCGTGGAGAAATCACGTAGAACGAAACCCAACAGCGCGGATTTTTACATATGAAAATTACGTGCAGTCCCTTTTTTCATACGTAATTACGTAGAGCGAAACCTCCCCATTGTCTATATTTGATAACCGCAATCATCTCATATTCATTTCTTAAACCACTTGTTTAAGAATTCTGTGATTCTCATCAAATGCACCCCACAGAACGCGAGATCACCCTGCCAACCAGACCTATCTGTTGTCTAGAACTACCGACGAACTTCTCCTCAACGCGATCTTGCCACGCCACACACCAAAAGACTAGGTTGTTTCTCGTTACAGAGAGAGCTTTTCTGTTATTATTCTCACGAGACGACGAGACAACTGACACCGAGACCAGACAGGACAAGGGAATATATTATGGAGACATGGAAAAAGTGGGGCGGTGGAGGCGAAATAGGCGCTCATGTATGATACAACTGGTCCCGAACGGGACGGAAGACAAAGACGGCATACGATCAAATACGATGGAGACAAGACGGCAACCGGACGAATACAACGGAGACAAGACGAGAAAATGCATATACAACGGGGACAAGGCGAGAAAGAGTGCATACGGAGGGGACAGAAGACGGTGCAGCCGCATGTACCAAGCATTCCAAGACAGCGCAGCAGCGTGTACCACGGGTCAGCAGCATGTACGACAAAGAGACACAAACACAGCAGCAGGTACGACAAAGAGCTACACGCGCAGCCGCATGTACAACATATCCGTAGTCATGTTGTGAGGTGGGGTGAATGAATGAGCGCTCTCTGTATGTCATCAAGCAGGTACACTGTACACACATTGTGTGTGGTGTAGCCACTCTATTCTCAATCATCAGTCAATGATTCCCTTTTTAGAAGGGACAGCAAGCTCCCTACAAGGTCAATAAGCTGGTGTGGGACCATATGTTACCCTAGTACATACAGCCTCTTACACTCCATGGCCCTCAGTTGTACTTTACCATACCTCTTCCTTTCCTTGTATGTAAATATTGGCACGGTGCTCTCGCGAGTCTCACGAGCTCTTGCTGTACTTTACGGAACAGGCTGACATCACTGACATGATGTTTGCTTCCTTGTGTTTTTGTTTTTCTTGTTCTCTTGAATTCGGAGTTTCCTTTCTTTTCTTCTCAAGCTTTTCCATACTGACCAACCACCAAAATCTTAATCCCTTGACAAGACATGCAGAATCTCTAGATTTCTCTCAAAATCCCTTGATGGCACAAGAACAAGACTTAGTGAAAATGAGCTTTTCCCGCCAAAAAAACGTTCGACTCTGCAGATCTGCGTACTCAGTCGTACAGCACAATTCGACGCTGCAGTGCAGTTCGATCAGTCGGCACCCGCCTGTCAGTGCAGATCTTGCAGCCTAGGCTGTTCAGATCTTGAAAGTGCCGGGCACAGTTCGAAGTGCGAGTGGGCACCATACATGGTTTTGAAAAAACCGGGACATTCGAGGAGAATCCATGGAGTTTTCAGGAAAATCCTGTATCAGACAAAACTGTGACTTTTCCGGGAGTTTGCTTGAAATCCCGGGAGTAGTGTGGATTTCCCGGGATTTTCCCGGGAAACCGGGAGGGTTGGCCAGTATGCTTTCCCTTTCACGGTTTGATTTTTCTTCTCTTCTCTTTTAATGGGGGGGGGGGGGGGTGTTGTTGTGATACAAAAAACGTATAGTATGCGCATGCATCATTGCATGCTCCAGAGCACATGTCTGCATGCAACCATCAACCAGCATGCCAATGCTGTCTGACGGTTCCATTCCAAACTAACCATAACCCCGCAGCTGGTGCTTACTTTCACCAGCGCATTTACCTGTTCATGTCCCGCCTTTTTCTCTTGTCCAAATGTTGTATCTCGTTCTTATGTTTCACATTGCATGCAATATGGCTTTCGATTGGCTCGTCGCTCCCCATCACATCATCGGTGATGGATCCCAATCACTCGTCAACACGCACAAACATTGCGCAAGTTACTGCTTGTAAGCTCAGCTGCTGTGGGTGTGTGGAAATCGCAGGCCTATTTGCATCACTGCCATATCCTCTAAAACATACTGATCATTAAGGGCCGTCCCGAAATCCAATGGCTGATGCCTGTACTGTTGACCGTCCAGCTAGGCAAACGAGTTGAGGTAAAGCCAGATTAGAGACCAGCTTGTTCTGGATGACAGAGTGTTATCTCGCAACTTCAAGCTCCCGGGAGTCGGGAATGTGAACATCCCAGAATCCCTGATACCACGTGTAGCGGAAGAAGCGCATTGGATGCCCGGTCACGCGATCACGGTAGCTGGACAGTGATGTACGAGATGTTGCGCGACATCTGCTATTTCCCGGTAAGAACTCGTGCTGCCAAGAATGTTAACGTAACTGTGAAGTGTGCTGCGCAGCGAATAGATGTGGTGGAGCGACGGTGCCACCTACTCCCCCAGAGATCCCCGATCGCCCTTGGAGTGTGCTGAAAATGGACGCACTGGAGCTTGGCACAGACCGCAGCGGACATTACCACTGCGTACTCGTGTGCACTGAAGCCACTACGGCGACATGATGTTGCAAGTGTTGCAGGAGCGTTGACTAGTATCTGCTGCAGGTGGGGTCCGCCCGACAAGATTAGAATGGACAACGGGACCGAGTTCCAGAATGCTGTTGTCCGGGCCCTCCTCACCCAGGTCGGCGTGTGTGTGAAGACGGGAGCAGTTCGTCACCCACAGCTGCAAGGCGGGGTGGAGCGCATGAATCGGATTCTCATAACGCTGATGAGGAAAGTACTAGATCAGGCGTCGGAGCTAGATCTCCTACAGTTCTACTACCGTTCCCGGCCGCACTCCACAATGACAGTGTCGCCTATGCACGCAATGTGTAGCTAGAAATCCCGGTCATTAGTTGTGGAAGCGCGTCCAGAGGCCCTTGTGCCGAGCGAGTGGGTTGAGAAGCTGAATGAATCGGCTGCCCGTGTATGCGATGTGGTTGAGACAGAGTTGTCTGCATCGAACCCTCCACACCACCCAGCAGCACCCAATCACCCTGCGTTCCCGGTGATGCAGTACTGTTCCGACGCCCCGGGCGTCACCAGAAGCTGCCCTTTGAGCCTGGCTGGAAGGTAGAGAAGATTGTGTCACCATCTACTGTTGTGATCAACCATGCCAATGGCCCAGAGAAAGTGGTCAACATTGACCTGCTAAAGCTAGACTCAGCTCCTGTACCACCGGACACTGATGATGCCCACAGCGCTTAGCTGAGCCCTGCCGAGAGTGATAGTGAGAGTGACGCTAGTGATGGTGGAGCCTTCGGCCTAGAATTTGACGGCGGAGGCAGCGACTCCGTCCCACGCTATGATCTCTGTGCCCCAGCTAGCCGTCGACTCCCAATGCGATATTGTTCCTGAGTATTGGCGTCTGGAGGGAGATGTGTAATAGATTGACTAAGTAACTGTCGACGCCACCTCCTCTCTCTCTCTCTCTCTCTCTCTCTCTCTCTCTCTCTCTCTCTCTCTCTCTCTCTCTCTCTCTCTCTCTCTCTCTCTCTCTCTATCTACTCTAATTTCAGAAATTTTCGGTGCTCAATATTTTCGGTATGAGGGCAACAGGCTAGGTTAGGTGAACAGAAATTGTCGGTACAGAGAAGCAGTTCCCTATTGGATTATGTGTGTTAGTGTTTGTTCGGTGTATTGAAATTTTAGGTATGAAACAGACGCACCGAAAGTACCGAAAATAAAAGTACACCGAAAATTTGTGAAATTACAGTATCTATCTGTTAGGTACCTCCGCCCGTCAGTATACCCTTTTCCCCTAGCTGGCCTGCATGCACCCGTACGTCATTCTCACCTTTCGTTCCGTTGGCCTGGGTAGCTACTTGCGCACCCATGTTTGCCATAGCTACCCAGGCCCTTTCTATTGTGTTGCCTCTCTCTCAACTCTCTCTTCAATTGATCGCTCTCTTCAGTCGAGCTCTCTCTCATAATGTAGTTGTTGCGTTGCATTGCGTCTACCATAATAAATGTCCCCCCCCCCCACTCGTTCCCGTCATCCGCTGCGTTGCGTTTGGGAGGATTGAGGCTTCAGAATGTCCACCATTGGCGCCCAGCTTTTCGCTCGGACCCACGACCCTGCTCCAGAACTCGTCGTCAGTCTCGTCTCGTCTTCAACCTCGTCTCGGCCATGTCAACCTCGTCTCTCCTACGCCAACCTCGTCTCGTCCCTGTCAACCTCGTCTCGCCTATGTCTACCTCGTCTCGTGCAAGACATGCAGGTCAGCTATTTCTCATTATTTCTCTCTCTCTCTCTCTCTCTCTCTCTCCTCTCTCTCTCTTTTCTTTCGTGCGTCCTACTTCGTCAAATTTATTTTCGGTTTATTTATTTCGTGATTTTTTTGTAGTGTGTGTGCGCGTGCGTGTTCATAAAATATTACCAAATTAGAGGTCCGATCATGGTGAGCCACGCTCTAATTTTTGATGTTTAGCAGAAGTGCAACTACGCTATTTTTAGCCATGCAGGCAGTATCAGTAGGTTCCTCGTCACATCTAGTTTCTTATCTTTAGACTTAGAGAAGTACAGGAACAATAACTGTAATGCATGATACTAGTTAACACTTTTGTAAGATCCGTGCGCGCGTGCAATATGTGTGTGTGTGTGTGTGTTTTTTCTCCCTCAGTCATTTTTTATCTTTTTCTCTCTTTTTTCTTTCTTTCTTTTTTTTCTCTCCGCGCGAGGACGCGGGATTCTTTTTTTTCATGGAGGGGTGGTATGTTAGGTACCTCCGCCCGTACAGTATACCCTTTTCCCCTAGCTGGCCTACAAGCACCCGTACTACGTCATTCTCACCTTTCGTTCCGTTGGCCTGGGTAGCTACTTGCGCACCCATGTTTGCCATAGCTACCCAGGCCCTTTATAATGCGTTGCCTCTCTCTCAACTCTCTCTTCAAATAATCGCTCTCTTCAGTCGAGCTCTCTCTCATAATGTAGTTGTTGCGTTGCGTTGCGTCTACCATAATAAATGTTTCCCCCCACTCGTTCCCGTCGTCCGTTGCGTTGCGTTTGGGAGGATTGAGGCTTCAGAATGTCCAACATATCTATCTCTCTTTCTCCCTCCCTCCTCCCCCCTCCTCTCTCTCTCTCTTTCTCTCTCTCTTTCTCTCTCTCTCTCTCTCTCTCTCTCTCTCTCTCTTTCTCTCTCTCTCTCTCTCTCTCTCTCTCTCTCTCTCTCTCTCTCTCTCTCTCTCTCTCTCTCTCTCTCTCTCTCTCTCTCTCTCTCTCTCTCTCTCTCTCTCTCTCTATCCCTTCCTCGATATTTGTCGTATTTACTGTTGATCACTACGTATAAATTTTTGTTGAGCCTCGTATTATTTATTCACGCTGTGTTCGTGATGTTCTTCCCTTTTCCAGTATTTTTGTGCGTACACACGATGACGTAGGTCGCCATTTTGTCCGTGTCATCTTGGTGCGCGAGCCTTTGTTATCCTTTTTCTCTAGCTCTTTTAGTTTTAGTTATTCTAGTGCAAAAGCAAGTAATTGGTCCAATGTCGAGTGGGCTGTGAGTGTTGCATGTTGGGCAGTGCAGACGGGGCAGTACACAACAACGTGTCAACCTGAAGTCTCTTGGACAAAGACGCAACATTTTACTCTAGGGTACACAACAACAGTCTCTTTACCACTTACCGACTGACTTCAACTCCTGGGATTTGGAAGCTTGATTGGCAATGCTGGTATCAGTATCATCAGCAGTGCTGACATTTTGGATCTGAAGTGGAACAAAAGTACACGAATAAAAGTACACAGAAATTAGGATGGAGGGTTGCAACTCTGAGCTTCATGTTCAGCGATCATCAGGCAATATAAAGTACCTTAAACGCTTGCGACACCTCCAGTGGCTTGCTTTTCCTGTGAAGTGAGGATTAACCATTTTGAAAAGAGTTCGGAGCCCAAGTCCAAACTATTACTGTACTTAAAACTTTTCACTCACTCTCTCCCATTTGCAAAGTCTCTTGTCTCGCCCTCCCTCTTCTAGTTTCAGTCTAGTTCTTTGAGTGACTTTCCTATGCCGAAGAAAATGATCACAGAAACAGCAGGGGGGGGGGGGGAAGGGAATGAATGGGCACATAGGAAAGGTTCAAGAGGGGCCATGAGACTTAGCTCGTGCTCTTCTTCGTTGCGCTTTCCTTCCCCTCTTGGACCTTTCCTAACCTGAGCCTTCCAAGTTGGAAGATTGTTGGTTTGCGTCTCATAGAAGCGTTGGAGCTAGGCACCAGGTCGCCGCCGAATGTCTCAGTATTCCTCGTCAGTTTATGCCTTTTTGTTGCACACGCTGACTGTGTATGATCTGATCACGTTGGTGGCTAGTTCGTCATAACTCGTAACATTCTATCCTAAAGATACGTGTAAATATAACTAGGAAGTAAATCTAACGTTTTAACGAGTGACATTTCTTCATTAAAATAAGTTCTACTGAGGCCGTAAGGCATCGCATGTGTTATGTATAGAATATAAGCTGAGTCCCGAGTGTTTACGGGAAATAAAAACCCGAGGCAAATAACCGAGGCGAAGCCAAGGTTTCTTGCCGAGGGTTTTTTCCCCGTAAACACGAGGGCGAAGCTTATATTCTATTTAATTATAGCATAAAAAACCTCCAGTCATTTTCCTAAAAAGTGGTTTTTATAGCACCAGGTTTTTTACAGCACCAGGTTTTTTTTACAGCACCAGGTTTTTTTTACAGCACCAGGTTTTTTACAGCACCAGGTTTTTTATACAGTTTTTTTACAGCACCAGGTTTTTTACACAGGTTTTTTATATGAGTGATTATGTGGGGTTAATGCAGTTAACCCTTGTTAGCGCTCATCACAGACTCCCACTGCTCATGTATGCACTGCCATACACGTCTGCAGGTGCACACTGCACTCACTGGGCTACAATGCCGCAGCGTGCAGCACGCAGTTACCTTATATATATAAGGTACACAGGGCTGTGCGCCATATACAGTTTTTTTTACAGCACCAGGTTTTTTATACAGGTTTTTATAGCACCAGGTTTTTTTATGTAGAAAGGAAAAGGACATATGGATACGAGTTAAGAGTAACTCTCCGTCACTGTAACTGGATACTATATACAGTCAGAAAGTGCAATAACTAGGCACAAAACTGACAAGAGTACTGAGACATTCGACGTCCTGACACCTAGCTTCAACACATCTCCGTAGCGCTAACCGACAGCCTTCCAACTTGGAAGGTTCAAGGTTATGAAAAGACCAAAGAGGGGAAGGCAAGCGCAACGAAAACGAGCAAAAGCCACAGTCCAACGGAACAAAGAATGTCGATTGTTACTGGACGATGACGAGACCAGTACGATATTTGACAAAGCGGTCTAACTACAATTCGAAGCAGCAAAGCAGCACACCACCCAACTTGGGTGGGTCATAAAATTAATATCAAAGATAAGTAAAGAAAGGGGAAGCTTTGCGAAAACGAACCTTGAACCTTCCAAGTTGGAAGGCTGTCGGTTAGCGCTACGGAGATGTGTTGAAGCTAGGTGTCAGGACGTCGAATGTCTCAGTACTCTTGTCAGTTTTGTGCCTAGTTATTGCACTTTCTGACTGTATATAGTATCCAGTTACAGTGATGGAGAGTTACTCTTAACTCGTATCCATATGTCCTTTTCCTTTCCACATTTATTTATGAATTAGTGGTTGCGACTTCGGCGATGATTTGTAAGAAAGGGTTTGCTGCCCACACCGGAGCTCGCGCTATTCCGCCGACTTTACTTGACACTTGTACTGACTCACGACTGCCATCTAGAGCACACGAGAAGTCCATCGAACCTTCGACTCGGCAAACCTGCAAGAAAGCACCACTCCCTGCTCAATACACAGTGTTTCGGGGAATTCACCCCTCATCAGTTGAGCTTGAGTAGGCTGAGGAAGATTGTGCCTGAAGAGCACCACTTATATAGTGCTCTCCAGGCACAAACATCACCAGGGATACAAACTTACAGAGACGCTCCGTTTCCAGCGCGACAAACACCTCGCGAACACCAGATAGCAGCGTGAGTCAGTGTCGCTCCTGGACGGTGAGACAGACGTCGAGGACCCTCGGTCATTCGCAACGCTGTCACCTCCAAACCAACTAGTCGCAAGCCCGCGCTGGGCACAACAGTACGAATTAGTGGTTGCGACTTCGGCGATGATTTGTAAGAAAGGGTTTGCTCCCCACACCGGAGCTCGCGCTATTCCGCCGACTTTACTTGACACTTGACTGACTCACGACTGCCATCTAGAGCACACGAGAAGTCCATCGAACCTTCGACTCGGCAAACCTGCAAGAAAGCACCACTCCCTGCTCAATACACAGTGTTTCGGGGAATTCACCCCTCATCAGTTGAGCTTGAGTAGGCTGAGGAAGATTGTGCCTGAAAGAGCACCACTTATATAGTGCTCTCCAGGCACAAACATCACCAGGGATACAAACTTACAGAGACGCTCCGTTTCCAGCGCGACAAACACCTCGCGAACACCAGATAGCAGCGAGAGTCAGTGTCGCTCCTAGACGGTGAGACAGACGTCGAGGCCCCTCGGTCATTCGCAACGCTGTCACCTCCAAACCAACTAGTCGCAAGCCCGCGCTGGGCACAACAGTACGAATTAGTGGTTGCGACTTCGACGATGATTTGTAAGAAAGGGTTTGCTCCCCACACCGGAGCTTGCACTATTCCGCCGACTTTACTTGACACTTGACTGACTCACGACTGCCATCTAGAGCACACGAGAAGTCCATCGAACCTAGTAGAACTAGTTGAACTTGTTGAACTAGTTGGTTTGGAGGTGACAGCGTTGCGAATGACCGAGGGTCCTCGACGTCTGTCTCACCGTCCAGGAGCGACACTGACTCACGCTGCTATCTGGTGTTCGCGAGGTGTTAGCCGCGCTGGAAACGGAGCGTCTCTGTAAGTTTGTATCCCTGGTGATGTTTGTGCCTGGAGAGCACTATATAAGTGGTGCTCTTCAGGCACAATCTTCCTCAGCCTACTCAAGCTCAACTGATGAGGGGTGAATTCCCCGAAACACTGTGTATTGAGCAGGGAGTGGTGCTTTCTTGCAGGTTTGCCGAGTCGAAGGTTCGATGGACTTCTCGTGTGCTCTAGATGGCAGTCATGAGTCAGTCAAGTGTCAAGTAAAGTCGGCGGAATAGCGCGAGCTCCGGTGTGGGGAGCAAACCCTTTCTTACAAATCATCGCCGAAATCGCAACCACTAATTCGTGCTGTTGTGCCCAGCGCGGGCTTGCGACTAGTTGGTTTGGAGGTGACAGCGTTGCGAATGACCGAGGGTCCTCGACGTCTGTCTCACCGTCCAGGAGCGACACTGACTCACGCTGCTATCTGGTGTTCGCGAGGTGTTTGTCGCGCTGGAAACGGAGCGTCTCTGTAAGTTTGTATCCCTGGTGATGTTTGTGCCTGGAGAGCACTATATAAGTGGTGCTCTTCAGGCACAATCTTCCTCAGCCTACTCAAGCTCAACTGATGAGGGGTGAATTCCCCGAAACACTGTGTATTGAGCAGGGAGTGGTGCTTTCTTGCAGGTTTGCCGAGTCGAAGGTTCGATGGACTTCTCGTGTGCTCTAGATGGCAGTCGTGAGTCAGTCAAGTGTCAAGTAAAGTCGGCGGAATAGCGCGAGCTCCGGTGTGGGGAGCAAACCCTTTCTTACATTTATTTATGGCTCAACATCCAGGTTTTTTATATGAGTGGTTATGTGGGGTTAATGCAGTTAACCCTTGTTAGCGCTCATCACAGACTTCCACTGCTCATGTCACGTATGCACTGCCGTACATGTCTGCAGGTGCACACTGCACTCACTGGGCTACCCGATACGCCTGCTACATGCAGCGTGCAGCACGCAGTTACCATATAAAGTACACAGGGTTGTGCGCCTATCCCGGCTCCGGGTCACACTTACAGCTCAGCACGCATGCAGGTAAAAGGTTTCACAGAACAGTGTGCCTGTCCTGGCTCCGGTTTGCACTTACAGCTCAGCGATCAGAAATATTTTTTTCTATTACATGTACAACAGTTTGGAGAGCTCAAACTGTTTAGTTGTTTTCTGCTTCTTGCTCCGCGGTAGTGGTTAGCTTGTGAATTCTTTTTCCCACTATCCCACCCTTACCACTATCTATAACTAGGACCTCACTACCGGTCCACTCTTCACAATAAACACCGAGTGCTGGCGCAACTCTTAACGGCAATGGTTTAACTCGTTCAATCACTCCGTGCTCTATGTTGAGCCAACACACACGCTCTATGTTGAGCCACCATACGCGCTCTATGTTGAGCCACTCACTCTCTCGCGCTCTATGTTGAGCCACTCACTCTCTCGCGCTCTATGTTGAGCCACTCACTCTCTCGTGCTCTATGTTGAGCCACTCTCTCTCTCGTGCTCTATGTTGAGCCACATTGCCTCACTCGCAGCCAGCACCCGTATAACTCAAAACTCTGTGCCCTGTGTGTTGGTGTACTTCATAGCGGTGTAGCATCTGCATGTGCATGTGGGATGCGTGCTAACCAGAAATATTAACTGCGTTTTAGAACACGCAAATGACTGGAGGTTTATAATTTAAGTGCGGATATGCCTGAAGATTGCAAGTTCGTTAACGTATCTTTTTCGTTAATCTATGGATTTCGGACAATCGTTAAATTTGCGACCCGTCATATTAACATGTCTTACAGTAACGTTACGTCATTGACTTCACGATCTTGGATAAGAAGGCAGTGAGATTGCAAAAAACCTATGGGCCCAGGTTTGGTGAATGGACAGTAGTAAATCGTTTTTATGTATCAGTTGGAATGCCTTACCCATACCCAATATACACCTACACCTGCTCCACCCACAAATACCTATCCATTGCAGACCTGCAGCCCAAAACATGTTTCGTACATCGACCTACCATCCTAGCAACGAGAGAGCCACGAGGATTGGCAGTCTGGTCTTTGCCATTTCCTGGTGGCTGTCCCCCTCCGGGGTCCCCTGTTGCCATACTTGCTATGCTGCTCCAGCAGCAGTAGCAGTGGCGAATCCGAGATATCAAAAGGTCAAAGTTCCTGCACAGGTAATGAACATAGGCAGAGAGAAAGGAGGAACTTTTGTTAGAAGTCATCAATTTATTCAGTCAGAAACAAGGCAAACATGACCAGTGCTGTCAACATAACCACCGATTACTAGTATTATGTACATTGTACATACTCGAAGTAGAATATCCTTGAACAGTTGAAGACCGTGCAGATTAGGTCTTAAGGTAGCAGCCTGGTCGTAAATTTCATATGGCATTCAATTGACCGTAACTTTGGTGTCTCTCAATGGATTTGAGTGAAATTTTCACCACACACTCCTGCCACTATGCTGGCCCTCTGGACATGATTTCAAAGTTCTTGCGCCTCACTGACAGGTTTTCAAGGCCGGAAAAACTCAAAATTCCGGCATAGTGCCACGGTGTGCGAGCTACCCAGGAGCCAAAAAATGCATTTATCGCACGACGCATTCAGTGTTTCCAGGAAGTACCCCACAGCGGATAACCTGGCTGCTTATCGACGCCAGCGTAACCTCGTGAAGGACTTATCTCGACATGATTATCGCTCTTACATCCGCAGCATCAAGTCCACGCTCTCAAGTAATGACCACCCGTCTCTTTCTCAGTTCGTCAGGCGACTACGTAAGCCAACTTCCACCAGTGCTCCCATAACCTCAATGCAGAGACCGGACGGCAGTATTGCTCATGATACTAGGGACATTGCAAACTTGCTCAACGTGCATTTTACCACTGTCGCACCTAGTGACGACCCACGATGGTGTGTGCCATCTCTTGCGGAACACTCTGCTATTCTGTCCTCACTTGATTCCTTCCAGACCTCCCCATCCACAGTTAGGACCGTCATTAACAAGCTGAAAATCAATAAATCACCTGGTTTTGACGGTCTTCCCAATGAAGTTCTTAAACGTCTGGCACCTTCAATTTCGTCTCCTCTCTCCACCATCTTCAACATCTCCTTTGCAAGCGGCGTATACCCACTTGTTTGGAAGTTTGCTGTTGTCACTCCCATTTATAAGAATAAAGGTTCTCGTCAGCACACTACCAATTATCGCCCCATTTCGCTGCTACCAAGTTTGTCGAAAGTATGTGAACGTGTTGTTTACAATATTCTGTATCAACATTTCTCACCCGCGCTTTCTCAGTACCAGTCTGGCTTCTGTCGTGGGGACTCGACCTCGCTACAGCTGACCTGCATTGTCCAGGAGCTGTACACTCAGCGACACCAAAGGCGCCATCAAGGTCTCTGCTTCTTCGACTTGGCCAAAGCATTCGATTCGGTATGGCATAGAGGGCTGCTCGCAAAACTACGATCGTGCTACAGTGTCACCCACCGCGCCAACAACCGGTTGTCGTCATACCTGAGCATGCGGACCCAAGCCGTGAAAGCAGGCGGCCTGATTTCGGAGGATCGTCCAGTAAATACAGGTGTACCACAAGGGTCTATTCTTGGCCCCCTGCTTTTCTTGATGTACGCGAATGATTTGCAATCCGTTACTCCTGGCCTCTCGCTTTTTGCAGATGACACCGCCCTTCACCGCTCAGCCTCCACCGAGCACGAACTAACGGTATCGCTCCAGCAGGGCATCGATGACGTGGTAAACTGGATGAAGATCTGGAAGCTACAGCCCAATGTCCAGAAGACAAAAGTGTTGTATATTTCTGCACGTCCACCATCTGCACCGTTGACGTTCCCGAACTGCACCCAGGCCCTGGAAGTTGTAACTTCTCACAGGCACCTGGGAATCGTTCTTGACTTGACTCGAAGCTATCATGGTCCGAACATGCTGACCATATTTGCCTTAAAGCATCCAGAATTTTAGGAACTCTGAAGCCTAACTGCCGTTATCTGCCTCACGACTGTAGATCTCTGTTTTTCTCTTTGTATATTTGTCCGGTCTTCGACTACTGTGACGTAGCGTGGTGTGGGGTATCAACCACGATATCAGACAAGCTCGAAGTTTGCCAACGAAAATTATTAAAAATGCTATTTTGCTTGCCCCGTGATTTCTCCTCTGCACAACTCTATGTTCTCACTCATGTTTGCCCCCTTTCTATTCGACGCAGTCTCCACAGCAACATGCTAATTCAAAAGATAAAACTCGAGAAAGTACCACCAAGGCATCTTTTT